CGTTCGGCAACACATCGGTGGGTGACGAACAGAGCCCCAATGGAGCAAATACGCGGGCGGTAGATTTTCGCTTGCTATTAATATCAAGAAACAATTAACGATACGGTTGTCGATAAACACGATACGTTTCATGATTGTCTCAAATAGCAAAGGTTATGTAGGTTTTTTTAGATGTGCATCCTGCATATTTGCCAGTGTGTCACAGCTCACAAGCTTTCAAGGCTGCAATGTTAAGCAAAATATTACACCGGAGATCGCATGATCGGTTTTAGCGTGGCAGCAAAAAAATGTCCATAATGTTAAGTTTATGAATAGTGAAATTTTATGGCTCCGATGTAAGGACATCTTTTTTTTAGGATCGTCTACTACAACTAGCTAAAGCTTGAGTTAGTTAAGAAACTATTCATTCAGAAATTGCGATTTGTTATACCATTGACATCTTGATATTCTGCCCCTGTAAGATGATGTCTTTTGATATTGGAGAAATACGGCTACCTGGACCTACCGCACCCGCACCCGCACCCTAAAACAACAGAAGGCTTCATTTCGCAGAAACCCCATCATAGGTCATAATATTGTTCGCTTTTGGATTTCATGTCCCCTTCTGTTATGGTCCATTCTTCATAAACCGTTGTAGATACGGCTCGAAAAATCACACAGCCCCCTGGCGATAAAATTATGAATCACGCTTGTAAAGATAATTTCCTATACACTCAATGGTTAATCCTTACTCAAAAACGCTTTATGCGTATTGAAGAAAAACTTGCTTGGGTTGTTTTGGAAAAGAAAGTAACTTTTTTGATTAATCTACCACAGGGTTGGGTCGTTTTTGGAGCCCATGAAGTGTACAACACAAAGCCCTAGAGCAAGGAACCTTTTAGCCAAACGGAATGAAATTGCTCCAAAAATATTTCTATTTATATTCCTACTTGCAAAATAAACAGGAGGTTTGATAAGAACATTTTATTTATATTCTCTACTGCTAAATTTAATACCATATGTCCAAAATTATTAAGTAGCTCCCTGAAATATAAAACAAAGCGAAAGATAAATTCTAATTAAAATTTATATCTTCTTAGGTGTTTCTAGGAGTTCAATAGGCAAACAGGTTGCCACTGTACCATCATGGGTTAAAACATTGCTTTATCATACGCTAAGTATGTGAAGAACGCTAGGTTTAACTTGCAAATACCAATAGTCGTATTAAAAGTAGCAACTTTAAACGTCGCGCCCTAAGGCCGTAGGACTCGATCTCTTTAAGTTATTCAGCCATATGAAATAAAGTTTGAAATACAACGCAACCTTAACAGAATTCATAGCTGGAAAAGGCTGCGGTGAGATGCTGACGCTCTCTACGCTAGTAATAATCACACTAATAATAGCGTTTAATTTAAGGTTTGTAATGAATGAACAATCGAATGGTGTATACAAATAAGAGATAGTCATTCTGTAAATGTGTAATGCCTAAAGAAATGCGAGAAGTTGAATTATAGTTTGGACTAGAGTACACTCGAACGTGTTTGTCCATGTGTCTGCTGTCCATGTGTTTACACTATGTTGTAACGTTAGATGCTATGTTACATCTAGTTTTAATAGTATGTGCTAGCTGTGTAACAAAAGGCCGCCTTACATTTAAAAACAATCCCATGGTATAACCTCCAACGCTAGCCGGTCAGTCAGCTCACACTCGACTCATCAAGATACTCGCAAAGCAGAAATTTCACACAATATTAAGACAATGCAGCCCAGGACCTGCAGCGGTATTCGGTTATTCCAGGACGTCGAAGCAAAGATTAACTGCAGAAGCTTTGCACCACGCAGTGTGCGGCCCTTACGGATATATTACCGGCGATGAGTTGGACGTCTATTGACCATGCAGAAAGCTACAATACTTCATCTGAGGCAACTACTCAACCGTGCTTAACATTCGGTGTTATTCATATTTATATATGTATCGCTCGCTTGATTTTCATACAGCATCCAGCAATTTCTGTTTATAATTCTGCCGGCAACGCATCCGAATAGCATACCACTCTGACGGTGGCCATATTTTATTCTGCGATACTATTGTGAACAAAAAAAAGGGTACCCTAGTAGTTACCTGGTCCATATTCAGCTTCACGCATATAAATTTTCATCAGTAATCTGTTTAAACTGCATTATGATTGTTAAATTCATAGAGCAGTCGTTGATAGCAGAAGAAGGGACAATTGAAATTTCTCGCAAAAGTACTGCGTGCAATGATTACATGGCAAACCAAAACCTGTCTGTTTATACCTGGTCTTGTCCATCCTTTCCCCTACTGCCCCACTCACCCCTGCATTTACTCTTAAGTTTCGTCTCTTCTCATGACTTTTACGACCGTATGCTCCCACACGGTGTATGCAGGGGCCCTTTTGATCCTGTTGTGCCTGTTATTGTCGTCGTCGCTACAGGAGACCGAGTCATTGGCAGTTACCAGTTTGTCGATTTGCCCATTGAACACGCGACGATGGACGCGACTAACCTGGCGGGAGCGACCCACGCAAGAACGAGCCGCTGTTCTATATGTCGACATTGCTTTCGCTGCTGCTGCCGCTATTGCCGATGCTGTAGCAGCAGTACCAGCACGCGCAAAACAGCACACAGCATCTTTAGCGACACTGGCACTGTTATTCCGTTGAGTAGAAGTAACCTTGCGATCGTCGTCGATCCCAAATACATAAACATATCCTGCTATATGCGAACGCATACATCGCTATCAGTAACAGCGACGAAGCGACTCAGCGGAGTAAAGCAGACCACAAGAGTTCAAAGCAAAAGATCCGTCTGCCACCATCCACTATCAGCGCGATCAGAATGACCGTAGTCACCATCATCATCATCACCGCCATAAAAACCGGACGAATAAAACAGTGAGAGCAACAACAAGGACAACAGCAGCATCTGTATTGCAGTTTGACTTACTTCGTTAAGTGCGATATTTCGGCCTAACACAATTCAGCGCATCCGACAAACGCCTACGACTGAAAAAGTCCCAGTTCCGGAAGCTAGATGGAGCCACCGGATAGATACGCCCATCACAATATTTCAAGGGTGTATGTACGATAGTAAAGACGGTGTTGTTGCAATCGAGATAGTAGCGCCATGTTGCAGCCAGAATATAGCCGTTGCGTGACTTCTATTATACGCCGCGGTAGACCTTCTTGTCGATATGGGTATGAAACAACATACGTGAGCGCTATTGCGGCCTGGCTCACCAACAAGAGCTGCCATTATTATTGTTGTTGCTGTGGTAATTGTTAATGTTGGTACTATCGTAGGGGGTGGTGGGCGTCTGTCGCTGCAACCGCCAGCGCTGTTCGATCCGTTTGGATGAACTGTTAACATCATTCTTGTGAATAAAGATAAAGTATGAAAAAGCGAACGAAAAAAAGCACGTTTTTACTCGTTTATTCGTTTAGGGGGCATTCGCGTAGGGGACCAGAGCAAGTAAAGCAGGGACATAATGAAAACGCAGCAACAATAGCCGGTTCAATCAAGTTGAACGATAAATAAGGTGAACATGAACAGCAGAGTACCGAGAAAACAGAAGAGATCCATTTAAAAAGCTAATTATCAATAAGATGGTGGTGGTGGTGGTGGTGGTGGTAATGTTAATGACTTCTGAAGTCTGGACGGTACCATATGTACGAGATAACAGTTCCATGCTCATGTATGAGCCAAGTTAAACTGAAGGAATAAATACAAATATTGATTTGATATGGGTGCGTTAATGATACCCAACAGGAATGGGTTCTGAAAAAATAACGTGGATAGGTCTATAGTTTATTATTACATACTCTTATATATTTTTTCGCCGGACGTCAAAATAACTCTGTAGTAGCAGTTAACATTTTGGGGGATACCAAATATCTTCTATATGTGCGAAAGTGAAACACACGATCAGTGCTTCCACTCACAATTACAGGTCCCCTAAGAGAATCTATTCATATTCAGCCTTCTAGAACCTTCGAGTATAATAAAAAAAAGCGTCATAGCTTTTAATCTCTCAAATATGGCAACATGATGAAGCTCCTCAGGAACTGGTCGAGTATTGTAAGCACATTAGAGTTATTTTACTACCTTCTCAAATCGCCTAAGGGCCCTCTCCGAGAAATCTAACTTTTATTCCTTAATACAAACGACGTTTTGATCGTCTTTCATGATTTATTTCTTGTTTCTATTATCGATTTCATCCACCCCAAGACCAATCCAATGACTGCTGGGGCAATTTACTGTTAGATTACAATATCCTTCCTGGCTGCAAGGGCAATTTTAATATCTCTTCGACCCGCTGCTATACAGGAAACTGTATAAGTGGTTAATTTTATCTTCACACAAACTTCTATGCATCGTTGAGAGAGGATACTGTTAATTCCTTGTTTCATACGGCCTAAAAAATAAACGTTTTAGTTTTTTTTTTCCCTTAGTATAGTAGCTTTCGATAGCGCTTTATGAATTTCATGATCCAACTAACACCTTGCACCTTACTACAGGCTCTATTCTACTTTAGCTTTCTTTATTGGAGTAAGGCTTGACAATATGCAAAAGATCAAAGGATTAAAAAGAAAATCCGAAACTGCTTTGTTAATATTGAGATACCATACTTTATCAAAGGATTTTGTCGAGAGCAATCAATGTTGTTTGGTAGCGTACATGATACTCACGGTTATTTGCAGCCCCCCCCTAATATTAAAACATAATTTTTTTTCAGCCCGAGCTTTCTAGTTAGGTCATGTTAAAGTTTAGTTCTGAAAAATGCGTAGTTTTAATTCTGTTTACACTATGAAAAGTATTGACCGGAAGACACACAAAGAATTACCCATACTGTAAAAATTGGAGAAAAAAAACTTTAATAATTACCTACACACTGGTCAATCGAAGAAGGGGTTGAGAATCTACTATCTAGAAACTTTGTCGTTCAACTCGGTCTTTAAAGTCTACTTTGAAGCTAATACTGACGTGACAAAACGTTTACCTCAGGATCTTGTAGCGGCATATATATTTTGTACATACAATGGTTGTAGGTCACTTTTGTGGAATGAAAAAATTGTCTCAAGTTAACTACTGTTATTGAATTATAATCCGGTTTAAACAATTACATCCGTAAAAATTACTCTCGAGTAGAAAGCGGCCTTTCTTTCTTAAGAATAAGTGATGATTGATTTGAGGCGCAATACTACGATACAATATTGAGGTTCAAAAATCAAATCGAAGCATAGCAAACAAAAAAATACTAATTCACTCTAGTGAACGAGAAATCTTCTTTGATGGCAGCAAACCGAGAACGCAGGTTGAGACGATCGTCGTCGGATTGTCAAATAGCAATAAGCAGAGGACCTAATTGTAGGGAAGGGAGGGAGCTCCGTGGGGTCAAGTCAGTATGGTAAAAATTTATATGTGACAAGCACTTAAAGATAAACTCGCAGACTGCTTTTTGTCACGATGGGTTAGCCCCCCTTCTCCCTCCTCTCTAGAAGATCTACGCAGAACCATTAGAGAACATAAATTATTAATATTCTCTGAAGTGTATATAACTATCTCAGGAAAATAGTGCGTGACAGCAACTGCCTTGATTGAAGAGCTAAAGATCTTTACATGTAACTGAAATTCAACGTTATCGTTCCATGAGTAAATGATAATAACTGATCGGAGAGTACCGAAATTTTACTCACTGATTATATGAAAATTTTAATAGAAATAGTTGAATTTTCATAACTTTTCATAAAATAAATCAAATTTGGTCACAGGATGTCGAAGGCATTGACAAAGTATTCTATGTAATGCTTAACAAGGAAGAATTAATCCGTAAGGTTACCAGGAAGTTCAGGATTAAGGAGGACTAATTATATTTAATATGTTTGAGACATAACGTCTGTTTTTGGAGCAAAACAGAACCCAGCCGGGCCTTTCCGAGTTTCTACTTCTCAAAATCATTCTTTCATTGACTATAAAATAATAATAATAATCTTTATGGGAAATGAATTTCGGATAAATCGATGGAGAGGTTAAACATTATCTAACACAAGGAAAACACAGGTAATAATTAGACATTAATTAGGCTACCGTTGAGCGCAGTTCCTGAAAAAAGTATATCCTGCACAAGCTATCCGATACGTCAATGATTCAAGTTCATGCAAGATATATAGTAACAACACAGCCAAGCCCTGCTTCTTCCAGCTCTTATTTGCGGTAACCCTAAATTAACAAAAACTGTATTTTATGCCCTACAATACCAGTTCATTAGTGGAAGCAGTGCACGGGTTACCCAGGAGCAACGAGCTACACAGAAGTAATACTTAAAGGGATAAGGAAGTATTCAGGATTCAGCAGAGTTCTTTAATGATCGGTTTCTCAGGTATTTGTATATTAGAAGATACAATTATTTAAGCAGTCAATTATCGCGTGCAGCTGAAAAGGCGCAAAAGCACAAATAAGCCGACGTGCCATGCAAAATATAAGCTACAGTGGTAATTTCAGCCGAAAAGTTAAACTGTGGACCTTCTGAACAGCGAAGCAAAATTGTGATCGCGTCGGACAACATATTTTTAATAAATTGCTGTTGCTATAGATTTTCTGAAATAATCGAAGTTGCGCGAATGTAATTACTAACGGGCTCCATTGTTTGGCATAGCCAACGACATGAATAGTATCATGCTATGATGCGAACGGTATTATTCACTAGAATAATAAATAGCGGATACCTACTTCGTCCTACCAAACTTCTGATAATACACTGGTAATTTATTTTAATATTTTACAAAATACTAAGACGAAATCGCTGCCACTTATAACCGTAAACCAGGCGAATCTGGTTCGTCTTTGGATTAATAGGTGTGATTATTGCATTACGTAGTTTTGTGCTTAAGGCAATCTATCATGCATATTTAATCGCCGACTTCGATGTTTCTAATCATACATTATCTATAAATATATTCGATATTGAAAGAAGCACTAAACAAGTAGGCTCTTCAGAGCACTTGCTTAGAGTACAAGCTGCGTGGCCATCTCACACTTATGTAGTATCATGGCTTTTTGTCATTCGTCGCAGTTGGAATTTAAGTTCATCAGTTGAACAGTTGAGGCTCCGTTTAAAATTGAATAATATTGTAGGTCCATGGGATGCTTTTGCTAAGGCATAATCTGGACACCGAAAACCTGCATTTGAATAATCTTTTTTTTTTCATTTGGCAGTTACGAGTTGCCGATTTGCAAAAGAGGTCCTTCGAGATGCAAAGTTAATGCGTGGGCCTTAGCTCGAATCATACCAGCGTCGACATCCTTCGAAGCGCACAGACATAACAATAAACCAGCAACAGGAGTGATCAACACACATCCTTCCTGGAAATAGCAAATTAGCAAAGTTTCAAATTATGGACCTGCTTTCACTTTAAAAATGCTGAACAACGTGCTCAAACGCACCACGATAAACATCGCGTGTCTGAAAGAAAAAAGTGACTAGTAGATAGTGACTTAATGAGAAAGATCAGATTGAAATGATTGTTGCGTGTCATGAAAAGCACTCTTAAAATACTATATAAAAAAGGGTGGAAAATCAGTCAAGCAAAGAGAGTACTTTCACATTTAAACACCGTAACTACTGCAGCTAGACTGTTTGAAATCAGGCGTATACTTATAACTGCTCTAAATGTTGAACAATCGCATTCTGCTTCGAAACCATTGCTGAAATCTTCTTCACCGGCGTCACTACTGAATTAATTCACCATTATTATATGGGGTCCCGAAAAACGACTGGTTATAAGTGTTACGTTGGCTTTTTAGTGGCTTTGTCATTATAGTTAGTACTATCATGTGCTCGTGTGTTTCAGAAAATTCCGTTTTCCTAATAATTGCCCAATACATTTATTCCACACAGGGTCAATCCTATGAATGTAATGAACGCTTAATCAGCACAAGCCCTGGCGTATAAACTATCGGAACTGTTGCTTTCTGTAGGACAAAGAAGTAGCCCCACCTATTAGCACTACAGGTTTGAAGAGAACTTCTATATATTTACTTGAATGGCTAACATGTAAAAATGTCACTAACCTCTAGTTCAATGATCACTTGTCGTAAACGATCGTCATTGAGTCCCCCCTTGCCTTCCTGCTCGTTAAGCCCCCATACTGAACTTAGCTGCAATAACATACATACAGAGTACAAGGTCGTATTTGTAAAACTATAGGTTATGGAAGGAAAATTATAAAGAATCTCATCGAACAGCCCTGCTGAATAAGATAGCGGTAGAAAAATTGCGTCCTGAAAAAAAACCCTTCTTAAAGCTGATATACAGATTTAAAAACGTCAAGCCATACTTCTTTAATACTCCGGACTACCAGTTCAGCACCTAGGTACTAAGAAAAATGCACTCAATATTGGGCGAAAGTGACTAGTATACGCATTACCCTAACACTGATGTGTCTGTGTGACAACGACGACATACCAGAGCTGCTGTTGTTTTCGCTTCTCTTTCGGCATATCCAGCGTATGCCATAAGAACACCTTCAGAGTTGAGTAACCTTGAAAGGGTGTGCGCAAAAACGTATAACTTAATCAAAGTTGTCCAAGCAATTAACATTACCTTACTCAATACGTCTCAAGTTGTTTTCCTTCGACACTTGGATCCCAATCACACGCGCGTCGAGAACAAAGACTGTAGATTTCTTAAAACGATATATGTAGGTGAGCCTTGAAACTAGGCCATCTAAGCAAGTGAAATGCATGTGAAATAGGCATTTAGTAGACGTTAAGCTATAGGCGCACACTTGCTTCTAGAAGAGACAACCTAGAAGCTATCACGTGAAATCTCAATAAAACGTACATTAACATAGTTAGAATTCAGCTCAATAGGTTGATGGGTAAATACAGATGTGGTAAAAAGAAGGTTTGCCTTGATTTCACATTTATCACCATGTGAAAACAGTACCTTAGGGAAATGTTGTCGGATATTTTTTTAGCATACGTACATTTCGCACGAGTATGTGTTTCCACTAAATATACGCACGACCATCTACATAGTACTCACATAATTAAACGATAACTTAAAGTAAACTCACAGTGTGCTGATAACTCCACCAGTATTTGCCTGCGACAAAACCTTGACGAGTGCCTGTGTTCGCAACATTGCCATATCCTTTCGACTCGCGCCGATTATTGAACTACTATTCCTACTATAAGGACCGGCTCGGACACCACTGTGTCATCAACCTCTAACAAAAGCTACAGCGACAGCCTGCATACACAAAAACAACTAAAAGGTGCTCTAATGTCACAGTATTCAACTGCGAGTATTGGCCTTTCGCTCTCGACTGACGACCAGTTTGTTACTATTTATTACAAGATTTGAAGTCAATCAGCTGGTCTATGTATCTTTAACTCTCTCTTAGTCTGTCTCTTTGTTTGTATCGAACGGTCACTGATGACAGTGATCTTACAGACTTTGCTCCGGGCGGTTTGGGCTAATCTAATATCGCCGTCATCGCAAAAACCCGTTAGCAACAAATCCCTGTAAGTAGTTAGACGGGCAAAAATACTGATAAGAAACTAGAGGAAATAGAAAGTATAAAAGAAAATAAATATATCTGTAGCAGTTGTTATATTGTTACTGACCTTTATTTAGCTTGAACGATGTATTTTTTCATAAGAGAAATAACAAAGTTACAAAGGCTTACTAGAATTCATGGAAACATACCTATTACTCAAAACTACCTGCGCTACTTGCCTGAGTTTATTTAGGAACAAGGACTGCATTAATTACGGGCAAACAATATGGTGAGCCATAAGTGTACGAGATAACCAGCATTATGAAAAATACGTATAATCCAATATTTGAACAGAGGATTCCACTGTGATATTCTAGAGTATGCTTTACCTTTGTTACATGCCACATCCTTAAGCAACTTGCATTCTCTGTTCAGTCATTGGCATTTATATGTAATCATTGGGAGTGTTTCGCGTAAAACGTCGATACTCGATAGTTAATGTTGGCTTCGACTAAAAGAAACATTGGTTCTTGCATTGCGTTTTCTTTTTTATAAACGAGCTCAGCGCCATCCCTGTTCATTTAGCATCTAAATTGCACAACTACGAACCACGTTACTAGTATCTTGTTTTTAACTATAAAAAAAAGGTACTATTTGAAATAGCAACTTACTAACGTGAAGCAGATCAGAACACGAAAAGAAAAATGGAAACGATGCATTATACATATTCCAGCTCGCAGTTCGAAATTGCTGGTTTGTTGTTAATAGTCTTGGACAGTTTCTGCTGATCGATAACTTGCTACAACTAGCAAACTTCCTCTAGCTCACCAGATTGGCTCAAAAACGGATCTTTTCTAGTTCAAAACTTCGAATCCATTCATCCATCCATCTAACCTTAAAACTCGGTGTCTGTTTGTTTGTTTATCCGACCCGAGTCGACCCCTCAAGAAGGCCACATTGGGATTTTTAGGGGGTCGATAAAGTACCGTTCGAAATGCGCATAATATAGTGACGATTAGACGAAATCTTTTTTTTTTTCCCGGAAGCAGTTTGTTTTTCATCCTATAGAGCGCGCTGTTAATGTGAAAAACAAAATTGCGGTAATTTTTTTTTTGAGATTATCCTATGAAAAGATCTCTATGAAAAAACTGTAGGGGTAGAGGTGAACTATATTTTAGTAGAATTTCTATCGAAGTTTTTTCTATTGAGAAAATAGCAACGAAATGTTTACATGCAAATCTATGTAGGGCGGTAATAGTTGAAGCTATCGAAAGCAATCTCACCGAACTGGCTCAAAATGCAATCTATGTTTTTACATCCACTCTCAGTTTTTAACTTTTTTCCCGGAGGGCGGAAATTTGACATGACATTCCATGGGAAACGGGTTATTCTCCACACCAGCCGATTGATCCTCCTTAGTTTAGAGAACATGCGATATATGTTTTTATATTTAAAGTGGGTGTTTCGGTGAGCAAGTTGTCTTCGCCTACACAATATTACAATAAAAGTGTGTTTCGACCTAGCTTTAAGCGTTTTTTGAGCGAATTTGTGGTAATATAAAATCGGAAATATGTAGTGGCTAATACGACGAACATCCTTGTTGAGTATTGTTTTGAAGATAACGTCTAAAAATTTTTTTGGAGAAACATTAAAATATCAAAAATATTCTGTTCTACGCAAAGGACCGCGTTGGTAGCACCAATTCTTTGAAACGATCGAAACATTTTCACGAGCTATGTAAAAATGCAATACATTTATCTATAGTTAAAATTAATGCTTCGGTATAAAGAACCGAATTACTGCAACTTTGCTTAAATCAGGACATTTTTTTACATGGATGTTTAAGTGAGGAGGGTATTTCTTGGTACCAATCGAAAGCTCTCGATGGACTAAATCCAAATGTAATTATTGTTGATCTACCTATGGCTCAATTCTCGGGTTGAAAGTACCATGTGAAAGTTATAACTCAACATGATATTCTATGTGAGGGATGTTTTCTTGACAGCAACATATATATATATATATATATATATATATATATATATATATATATATATGTCTAAATTGGTATTTTTGAGAGGGAACTACGAAAACCCAATTGGTCGTTAGTTTTACCTACGTAAAGATGGAATGAACATACGTTTTGAGTGGTTTTTTAAGCCAATTTCTAACAACAGGAAATTTTAAAGCACACATTTTTGTAAAAACAGACTTGAATTTATTAAAAAAAATGTAAAGAAGGAATTTAGATATTTATTATTAAAAGTTAGATATGTATTAAAAAAATGCTTACATTTCAGTGGCATTGCGTAAAGTGGATCAGTATGCCGATCGAAACATATTAAACATTTGTTTCTTCGTTCAATATATGCTACTGCCTATTATGTTTACTATTACTATGTTTAGTAGATCTTTACTTAGTAGAATATGTAAAGAGTTACAAAAAGGAACAAAAATAAAAGACCGTTAGACCTTGGTGACGACCCGGAAAGAGAATCAACATACCAAACGAAGCATATATATAAGTATATATATGTATATATATGCTTAGTATGTTGTATTTTTTACTACTTCAAATACCTACGGAATAGTTTCTCTACCAGTTGCCAGTAAAGCTCAGTAAGAAAATAAATATATAATTTGAAACGTGTGCCAGTAAGTATTTGACTTTTCGAACAGAGCTCTGTACTTCATTATGTTTACAAAGCTATCTATCTGTCTATCTATCAATCAATCAATATCTATATCTATCTATTTATATAGATATAGATATTGATTAAATATATATATATATATCTATCTATAAACGTGTTTAAGCCGAAAACTTCTCTAAATTAACAAATGACTTTGTTTAAGGTTAATACGACTGTTAACTGTAGGCAATTGTATAAATTTTGTTTTGAAATTTATACAATTGTCTTAAAGCAATATACACAAATTATGCTGTGAAAATTTCATCTATATCTAATAAAAGCTGAGAAAAATCATCCGACATGTATCTAGTAAATTTCGCGTCTATTAAACCAGTCCTTGAAACGTTTTACAGTGGCACAAGGCTAGCTGCATCGAAAAGTTGAAAATTGTGTGAGATATAACTAGATGATAATAAAAGTGTTTAGCAAACCTAACAACTACGCTAGCTATAACAAGTGATGAAATGCTCAGTTTTCCTTGAGATTCCAGTACTATGGCGGGTAACAACCGCAACAAAGCAAATGCTGTACAGATAATGTATGATAATAAGTGGTATCCTCTTATCTTTACAAATCGTTTTACTGTACCCTTGGACCGATTTCGTGCCCTAGTTTGCAAATCTTTAATCCATGCATATAGTTAGGCTAAGGCCATCAAACCGCCCGTCGAAACTCCCACAACCATCGCTAATATGCTCGGTGTCTTCGAACATGTTTACCTATTTTCAGGTCAAAAGAGTACACGAATTAAAGTTTGGTTAAGAGAACTTTGTATTGCATTTGAGTATTGAATTAATTGAAACGTTACGAGCAGACGGAGTTTTAGACATGCTGACACCATCCAGTCTTTTAAAAAACCCTAAACGGTTAAAATAATGAGAATATCGATCTTTTGATACAAATTAATACATTTAACTATTTAACCTCGCATTCGTTAGTGCAAAAGGCGTTCGATTAACTGCTCAGGATATGCTATGTGCTCCACATAGTACATACAGCACAGTAAAATATTCTAGGCCTAGGTCAAAGGCCAACAGAACGATATTACTAATCTAGTAGACATAAAGTGGGCGTCAGGTCTGACAAATTAGTCTTAAAAAAAAAAAGGCCAAGAGTGCTATTAATGGAACAATGCATGACGATATTTTAACACTGATCCGACACGCAGACGTTGTCTTTTGCCACAAGTTCTTGAATCAAGTCGTTTCTTATGTATAAATTAACATCTTCGAATTTTTCGAATCACCTACTACGTGATTAATGTTGCCACTTCTTTAATAGTTGTGCTTGATAAAGTGTCGCAGATCTGTGTAATTTTTTCATTCAGAAATTACTACAGATAAATATAATGACACAGTAACAATTGACTCTGTTTACTATAATCTTTTTACAATAAATATTCGTTTGCTAACCTCTTAATTATTAATTTCGCCACAGTTAATTGCTAAAGGCAGAACGAATTTTCGATCAAGAAGCGCCATCGGCCTATCCCTTCAAGGTACAATAGAAGTTACTTTAAATCTATATTAGTCAGTCGATATCCGTAAATCTATCTCAGTTTAGCTCTCTGGTGATATTAATTAAACTGGCCAGCTAGTCAAGAAAAACCAAGGAGATACAATTTATTTATCTGCAGCCCCATACCTATAAATATTTCTACCTATAAATCAATTCAATACCTATAAATATTTCTACTAGCGTCTAAAAAATTCGAGTAATTATAGACGGTATTGGATCAAGTGAGATATGCTTAGATTTCCCCGACAGACAAACGAGATTGTTCGGCTCCCGCCATCTTAGACAAAAGCGAATTTCAGCTTAGCAGACCTATAAACGTCCTTCATTGTCGATGCTCCTCACAGATTTCGCCTCGCCCCATTGGCCACGTCAATGAGACAAGTTTCTGCCACACCACCTCCGTGTCGATGATCAAAACATTTTGACGCTGATTACCGGCTCCGCAGAGCACACGGGTTTAACGAACATGGTCGTTGATTGAATAAAGCTATACTTTGTAGCCATTTCCACTCCACAAGTGGACCAAAAATAGACAGGAAAAATAATAGTATCAAGTTTACACAAATGTCATTATGGCGTAGTATATATATATATATCGGAACAATGTGACCTTCTGGCAACGTCAACGACGAATGTCTTTGCTGCAACTGAATAGATGTTCCTGGACTTTTACGTCCAGTACTGTCGTTAAGTATTGCTCTAAATAAGACTGTGTATTAGCATGCTTCTGTGAGAAGGTTCCTGTTCACGTAGTCACCAATTTGTAGAAGTGTTACCAGTTAAGGGCAACTTGCTCTCTTATTGGGTTGAAGCTTTCCCTGCAGGTATGATTAGAATTACCAGACCCCCTGGCACGGTTCTAGGGAAATCATTGTTTACATATTTCTACATTCTAATGGCCACAGTATCCCATCTATTTCCAAACATGTCATGTCTCGTTCCACTAGTGTAAATCTTTTTCCCAGAACGCTAGCTTCAATTTAACTTTGCACTTCTTGCAATATTCTTCTAGTTTTTTTTTTTGCCAACTGTCGTAGTTCTTGCTAGGCTATTCGTGCATTTCAGTTACTGAAGCAGGCATTTGTATCAATAAAATAAGTCGGTAGGCATGTACACAAGGCTACGATACTGACCCTTGTTGGGTAAGCCAAGCCAAAATATGGCGATGCACATCTGTAAGCGTATGTCATGAAGGTTGATGACTTGCGTTAAACGATAACTTATAGCGAAAGTTGCCGTGCTGGTTCTAAGATCAGATTTGTGATACTGGCGTAGTTCGTGATCGTATTCACCGACCGCTGAAGTCCAGTAAAAATCGTTGCTCGGTCAAGGCAGCTAGACTCAACGGGTACTGCTGCGGACGTCGCCAGATATGACTGGCATGGAAATACATATCTAAAAATACCTGATCGCCTGACAAAAACGTACGCCCATTTAGTAACCGTATTATATATATATATATATATATATATATATATATATATATATATATATATATTATTATAAGCCATAATGTTTTCCACTGTTAGGCACCTGATTTATGCCAGTGACAATCACTTCAATGATAAAAAGTTGAATAGACTTAGACGAAACAATGTTGTATCGGAGGGTGTAGCCCACCCCCGAGCTAGAAGTACGAAGATTTACCATAGCAGAAATACGCCGACGAACCGATTCTCGGTAGAAAATAATGTTGGGACGTTATTGATGTTTTCGTTTTAACTGCCGCACAATATCGTAGACATGTGGCGTTCCCTAACGATTACGAAATCTTTCATAGAATGGTACCTCCATTACGTTGACATTTTGCTGATATATACATTAGTTAAATATCTTAAGTTTGTATCAAAGGAAGTGTTCTAACTAGATTAAACGGCGTTTCAGTAACATTTGAATGTAAATAGAGTTACTATTGCTAGTTGTCAGCCGTGTAGCCAAAGACGACTATCTCTTACCAGATTTACATATTACATACATACAGACAACTTCACACGAATTTCGCGCAGTGCTAAACATACTAGGTTAACTACAGCGGCAAGATTTGAAATCGACTGAAAATGGTGCCTTTTTATGCCGTCTCACAGCGGTTACGTGTTCGTCCTTGAACTGTGGTTCTCACGTGGCTTGCCGTCCGTAGACTTTGAACTAAAGACCGTATGACCTAAGGCAAATCTCGGAGTTATTAGCTTTTCAATGTTGATCCTTTTTTAAATTTGAATAAAGCAAGCAACAAATTACACATTTACTGATTTCGATCAGTTTTGTTTACTCTGCATAAACATTATTTGTCTCGAAAGGAAAATGAGCCTTAGCTTAGGTACATGTTATCCATGGGAGAGATATTATTATTGCCCTGTATGGAAACTGTAAACAAGTATAATGCAACAAATGAATCAGCTAAAGTCTCTTTTCAAGCCTGCGCTGATATCAAAAAAACGTAATTCTAGCAGTGTCATCAACGCTAGCCACGTTACGCATGGAAACAGACATGAAGATAATGCTCGCGCAAGTGGGAACAGCATTATCTTCATTCGTTATTAGAGTTATTATTGAGTACGCATAGAAATGATTAGTTTCTCCATTTAATTTTATAAGCGCTTATTTTTTGGGTTGGCTCGTCTGACTGGTTGGTGTTTACTACTATCGTTATCGCTAGCGCCGTTGAAGAAACACGTTTACAAACAGTCGATGAACTAGCGCGTGCATTGACGGGGCCCGAGTGACTCGTCCTCATGCCATAGAGCAGATTTATGCCGTCACGCCGCAATAGCAATGCTTACCACAGTTCGTATGGGTAATTCATCGCGAATCTGTTGCGTATCCGTTTGTATCGACCCATGTGAATGAAAGAAGTTTTTATCTTGTTTTATCTACACGCGCTGTCCGACCAGGCACCTCGCGTACGCCGCGCAAATCACACCAACGATATCTTGTTTTGTGATCCAGTTGTACTTGAAACTCATATCAGAATGGATCAAATGGTATTGGGCGACAATTAACGATGATGAGACAAAGCAAGAGGCCGGACGACGCTCGCATCATAGTGCCCCCTATAGGATATCCTTATCGCGGCGTTCGGCTACGCGTAGCCGATACGTCGAGATGTGAAAGGTCATTACATGCTTTGAAGAGGCATTAAACACACGCCAATGGACCCGTCTACATGCTAACACTGATATATAGCTAGTACACACATTCATACAACCACATAGACGCAAAAACACGTTCAGCATTGACACTGCAATCGAATAGTCTCGGGTAGACATAGGATTATTCGCTATATGCTGGGATTGTTGTAACGAGGATCTCCTATGTTTTTTCGTCTTTCGCAGCGCAGGTCGGCAGTGCGTAAACGCGAAAGCTGTCGCTACCCGGCAAAGACTGCGGTTGGCGACTGGCGGACTTAGACGGCCGTGATCCGTTTCTAAGATGTATCTGCTTTTCGTACTCCCGCCACTGATGTGTGTATTACTTGCAGGGGCTTACAGTACACCCATGCCAGGAGCGTTAAGCCATACGTACACGCAGTAGTTCGATAACACTATCCGACGGGCATACACACGCACGTTATATACTAACCATCGTACGTGAGGCCATCTACATTAAGCGGATCGCGACCAGCTGTAGTTTCTGCAGGCTTGTCAAGCACATCAGGCGTTCACCGGCCTGTCGACAATCTTCGTCCTATTTATGACCGTGATGATGGCAACGCTTAGTGTATTAGCAGATGACGTTGACGGTATTGTATTGATTTTCTAGCCACAGTCCATATCACCAAAGCAGCGTTTGGGACAACAGCGAGGGGCAGGGGCGAGTCGAATTCTGCAGACTTTTTACTCTCGCTATTCTTTCCTTATTCAATCAATTCTCCTCCATCTTCTCATTATTTTTCGAAGAGGTCCAGATTCAATTTCGGTAGTAAATGAAATGTACAAAACGATACGAACAGGAATGCTACGCGTATATAAGTGTTGTACCAAGGCGCATACGGTCAGTGTAGTGTGCTGTGGTGTCTTGTCCAGTGTTCTGTGTTCAGTGTGTTGTCCGCTGGATGTTGTTCGTGTCGCAGGCAAGCACTAAAGAATTATTTGTGCATATCGGCCACAATATGCGTGCTTTCAGTGTCGTCTGTCTTACGCTGTCGGCACTTGCGGTTCACGCTGGCCATCTCAGCGGTGGCGCCGGATTTAGCTCAGGCTACGTTCCAACCAGCAGCTATAGTAGTAATGGCGGTGGTTACGCACCGGCGGTGGCTGCGGCTCCTGTCGCAGTGGCAGCCCCCATCGCAGTGGCACCCCCCATCGCAGCAGCAGCCCCCATCGCAGTGGCACCCCCCATCGCAGTGGCACCCCCCATCGCAGCGGCAGCCCCTGTCGTGGCGGCAGCCCCCATCGCAGCTGCTCCAGCCGTTTACCCATTAGCACCTCCCATCGTCCGCAGTACCCCACAGATCTCGTCCCCTCTGGCTCTGGTTCCCGCCCCTCCTGCTCCTGCGTCGGTCGGAGCCCCTCAGGTTATTGCTGCTGGACCGTCTGCTCCACGTGTTCATGAGATCCATTCTCACTCGGCTGGTCGCCAGATTCGTATTGAGGAGTACCGTGGACCCCGTCAGCTGATCCGCGTATTTGAGGGAGGGCACGCTGCGCCTGAAGTGTTTCGTGTTCAGGCGCCTGCCCAGCAGAGCTCTGTCATTAGGCTGGTGACCCGTGGAGAACAGAATCGTGTTCAGCACCTCGTCCACCAAAACCCAAACGTCCAAGTAATTAATGTCCAGAAGCAGCCCGCTCCTGGCCCGCGCGTTATTCACATTGTTCGCGGTCCTGCACTCCCTCCCCGTGTCGAAGTTGCGCATGCTGCCCCTGAAGCCCCAGCACAGATTGTTCTTCAACCCTCTGCCGAGGCACAAACCCACGTCGTAGGACCATCGCGGCCTGCTGATGCTGCTGCAGTCGGAGCTTCAATTTTTGCTAGCAGCCCGGTCACGATTCCTGCAGCTCCAATTGCTGCCCCGGCCTTACCAGTCGCTGTTGACACTCCGGTCGTTTCTGCGCCGGTCGCCGTCGCTGCCCCTATTTCAAGCGGTCTTGCTCCTGTCCAGCAAGTCCACACCAATGTTGTTCACCACGACGGCGGCTATTCACAGGGGGGCCACGTGAAGATCATCAAAAAGCTTCACTAAGTTCCTAGCGACCGTTTCACTTCTTAATTATGTTCTCTCTGAGGGAACTCTGATATTGCCAGATTTCAACGTAGTTAGCTTACTGCATAGAAAATCGCAAAGATCGTGCTTGTTTGTCGCGAAAGTTTGCCATTAGATACCTACTAAAGTGATGAAGTTTAGACCTTACCAGGCCGACAACAACGAGCCCAACAACAGCAGGAGCAGCAGGCGTTAAACGGAGCTAGGACGTTCCTTCTGGATGATAATCTCCATCTCCGCTGGCAAATTCTTTCAAAAATGGCCCATAATAGGTCTAACCTCAAAGCACAAAAAAGATAAAATGAAGATCATAGCATTACCGTCTATACCGTGCACTTTTTCATGTAGTTGCTCGGCCGCTTTGTGTACAGTTTTGTAAAAATATATTAATTATATCAAATAACTAAGCTCACTGTCATACTGTCGACTCTCACACCGTATGTTTAATAAATAAAATGTTTGTCATTCAGCCCTTGATTGCTATTTCCAGCATTTTTTTTAAATCATTTTTTATGTTATGGATTTTTTTCTATCGACTTATTTTATACATTAGATACAGGGCATTGATATGCATACGCTATGTATACAAAGTTGTGCGTTCAAATTGGGTAACACTTTGTCGAACTGTGTTTTGTGACGAGCATGCGTTCATCCGTTATTTCTGGTAACAGAGTAAAGCTAGTTGTCTTAGAACAGAACAATAAACTCGTCAAGGTGAAGAAAAGTGTATCACTTCCAGAAACTGAGCGAAAATTAGTAATGATCCTTGAAATAGATAAGAGAACACTAGACGAACTCCACCAAGAGCAATTCTTTTTCCTGAAGTTAACTTATTGTTAGTTCCCATGTGTCTCCTATCAAATTCGAGGAAGTCTTCTGCGAGACAAATCAGAAAGTCCCGAATTAGGTACTCGGGCTCAGAAATTTACCGAAAAGGCTCACAAAGCCATTCCTGATACACCTCGGTTTTTTTATACTGAAATCAACCAACGTTTTGGAGTCAGAAATATCAACTGCACGTTAAATGATCTCTATAAGCTATAACGATCGATCTTCTTAAGACTTTTGGCCTGCTATTAGTCCAAATTTAATTCTGCTTGATTTTTTTCCATACGTGACGTATTTGAGAGGCACTTTAATGAATTTACACCTGTCAATACCGCTTGATACACGGTTACTCATAGCAAACGTTTGTAGGTTAAAAAGAAATAGCTTGAAAATGGCTAGTGAGCACTTTAGGTTTCGAACTGAAGCTCCGATCACGATACGTGATGGTTATATTGAAGACATGACTGTTAAGAATGACGCTCCTAGCACATTCAAATACATACATCCAAACATCTGCTTTTGTAGATATGCTTAGAAACAAAATATAAGAAAAAGTTTCGATTTCGACAAACCTCTCTCTCTTTCTATATATATATATATACATATAGATGTTATGGTCTATAAGCTGTATTTGCTTATGTCTAACCAATTATGAAACTAGTTGGCCATTGTCTACGCATTAGTCATACTGCCGAAAATGGTGTCCAAAAGATATTTGGGGGATGCAATTAAAATCCTAGTGACAAAAACTATGCATGATCAAAGCAAAAGAGGATGCTTTGTACATTTTAGACTGGCCTCAACTAGCGTTTCGTATACGAAGATATTGGGGGTTGGGAAAGCTTTTACAAAAAAGAAATGCTACTCATATGGGGAAGACACAGTATTAGCATTAAGGAAATACTTCCCCTGAATAGTGTGAAAGCAAGCACACCTTTTACAATGGAGTGGTCCCAGTGAGCAATACGTTTCAATGATAGTATAAATCTTGTTCCTGTGATGCACCGTTCTAAAATTTGGAACTTGCTACTCGGGAGGCTGATCACGAGTTCGAAACTGTTCAAGTATAATGCCTTTGTTGATGCTAATTTAGAATAAAGTTTTTAATGTTTATATATATATATATATGTTTAATGTTATATAATTTTTTAATAAAAGGTTTTTGTTAATCTCAGACGGAAAATACAGCATAAAAAATAGCAGTTCTCATAAGTGAGATATGTATTATATATGATATGATATATTTTAGGATGTATATATATTTATAAATGATAGTTCGTAGCATTCACTGAAAAAGTTCTCGTAATGAAAAGGACGTCTCATGTTCGACATTTTGAGCCCTTGTATATCTTTTCTATTTACTGTACTTGTTTAACATAGAGAAGAAATAAGCAGTACATGTAATGGGAACACGTCGAAACAGGACGGAAATCGTGACGATACTTTTGAATAGTGCTCGTAGAGAATCTTTTGCCGGAAAAGTCACAACATGATAACTGGTCGTTCCCAAAGTATTTTATCACATTGAAACAAAGGTATACTTATCAACGGGATCCTGTGACTGCTACTAATGCCTTGAGCTAATAATAGTCAACCCACCGCGGAACACCCGTTTCTTTCATTCTATGCCATTTCAGTTCTATTCGTAGAGGCAGCATCCTGTTTTGGAAGAATACGCCGTTCGAGACAATGTAAACAAATGTAACCCACGTTACGAGACAGGTTTGAAGTTCTAAATTGATCGGTATTTGGCAAATATTCGAAGTCAGATTCATTCGCAATAGTAGATTCTCTGTTGTGAAGTTTCTCAGTACTTTGAGAATATTTGTTATTGGTAAATGTTATTGTGTCACCAAAAAATGAAAAAGTTCACAAATCTGGTGAAACACAATTGAACTTGAATGTAGCAAGGGGACGGCGGCGGAATAACGAAAAATTCGAACTTCTAAGAAGATTCTACCGCTGAAGGTTGCCGTGATCATTTTAGGCATGGAAGAACACTAGGGAAGCTCATTAGCGTAAGTTTCTATATTGCGCCGTGTTCCTACTTTGCATTCGGTTGCCATTGGGAGCGAACATTTCATTTTCTAATTTACCCTTTTGCATTGTAACTATATTCTTACTTTGTAACTTGACCTGTTTGTTCTAGGTCGCCTCATATAAGAGCTGATTTGAGTTAATACTATTTTATATTTAATACTGTGTTGATAAAGGGGTGTTTTAGCCATAATTATTTTATTATATTATATTATTATAATAACCCAATGAGCCTGTAATGGATGCTTTAGGCAGTAGTCAGGGTCGTTACGAATGTATGAGTCTAACCGCTACGACTTCACGTGGGTTGACGATGTCCGGGTAGTATTAAAGGGTTATCTATGTATGAACTAAACTTTGGAATTTTGAAAAATACAATGAAATCAAAAGTTATTATGTCGTCATTTTCACAGAGTAAATTTGTGTAGGACCTCGTGTGCTGCTGTTATTATTTGAGTCTTTATAAAAACGTGTATTGATGTTAACATTCGACTACGAACAACAGAGTCCAGGCTTCCCGTAGAGAATGCAGAAAGGTGAACCAAATATGCGTTTACTCTAGATCTGATTTGTTTAGTTACTATATTAAATTTTAAAAAATTAAATAGATAAGTAAGAGCAGAAAGAAGTTTGGAGATGGCTAGCAGCAATCTCTAAGATTATTTTTGCCTCTGTAAATGTTACGAAAGATTGATATGAAAACAAATTTAAACAAGAAAGCCACAAGGGAACTAATAACTTCTATAAGACATTACATAAAAAAAATGTTCTCTTCTTTCGCTCTCAATAGTATAGTAATTCGATTACCTGGTTAGCAATAGGCTTATCCGTACTAAACTGATTTTGAAGTAGAATAGAACTCTAAAATGAAGCGAAAGGACAAATCAAGGTCTCTGGCAAATTGTGTGTCATATAGAAAATTTTTTCGTCGAGGCAAGAACAGTTAAACCATCCGATTGAAATATAGCTGTTTTTTTGTTATAATGAATCTCAAGGATATCCCAAAAATAGTCACGTCAAAGCGTCACATAAATTTTACAAAACAGTTTACCTTGACGGATCTTGTGAATCTCCTTGACAAAATAATTCGCTCAGTCTGCTATATAGCATCCATTGCACAACTGACGCCTACACGTTCTTCGCATTCATAAATCTTCCACAAAAGCTTTGAAGAAAAGCTGAAAAATTTGAGCGTTCCGTTCAGCTCGCAGGAAGTTATTGATATGTTACGCCAAATTTACTCAGCTCGACGCATGGCTAACCTTTAAGTTGGTACTGTCGAACAATTCGATTGGTTCATACATGTATTAGATCATTGAGATCATTCTTGTGGCGCCTCAGATTGTTTAAACGAGGTAGGCGTCGTTTGTTGAAAGTCGACTAGATAGAGTCTCTGAACAATGCTACGGCGCCGCTTCCTTCATCCATCGTTAGGCACAGTATGGCTTGAAAAACATCGACCAGCTATGCAGTTGTTAAACCTTGGCAGTTCGTTATGGAAATGGCAACTCCTTTTTTGGCCTGTCCGAGCCTCAGAGATAGGTTTTGTGGAGTCTGTGATCGACCAGCCTATGTCCACGGCCAGCCTCACCAGGCAGACATGATGATACCTCCTTTCAAGCATCCTTGGAAAACTAGTTGGAATCGGTATGGCGCAACAGCGAAACAGAGAACATGTATTTCTAGAGTTTGGACACACTTAGTGAGTCCTATTTTTACTAGTAGGGCAACTGAAAGCTCGATCCCTATCATTAGAACTCTTAGCAAAATGCTACGCATTGTCATCAGTCGTGCACTGGCGTGCACAGCGTTAGGCTATCTGATGTACATGCTGTGATAGATTAGTGGGTAGCGTTTTCGCGTGTACATATTAGGGGCATGTGGTGGAGTATGTTCGAATCCGCGCATAGAAAACTTTTGTTTTTTTCCGTGTAATAGCATGCTGGAAGTAAAACTTGAAACATTTAAGTACGGTTTACGTGCTGGTCAGCGAAAATGCATTAAATTTACTTATTCACTGTGCCACTCGCTTGATACGGATAATTGACTTGATCTGATGATGATAATATAGTAAACAAATTAATCATGAAATCACGAGCGCGATCGCAAATAGAAACGTAGATTATAACTGATGAGACTCTGTACGGATTTAAGTAAACCTTGAAATATATATATATATATATATATGCCTGTTGTTGTTTTTATTCGGATCGTCGTAGTCAGCTATGGAAATTAATCTTCGAAAGCATGAAAAAAATTGCAGGTTTTTTGCGCCAGCTCAGTCAAACGTGTACCAAAAGGCAGTATTCCTATCTTATGTTATGCTGTTATGGCTATTATTAATTATAATCAATGCAGCTTACATATTGCATCATTACAAGAAGACACAACTGACCGAATTTCCAACAATCAAGTTCCTTAGTATCTGCTTTACGAAAAGAATATAGATCAATGCTTGTGGGCAATAACGTAACCGACGGTAGCCTGCGTTTGCATAGCAATAATTATCGTGGTGATTTTTTAACCCGCGTTGAATGGAGTTTTCTTTTAAGAGGGTATCCGAATCTTTACTTGTATGTAAAATAGATCGTCCGACAGAACGCAGATACAATGCGCTCCGTACTTTAGTATTTAACAGCGTCTTTCTGTATCGGATGTCAGATCCTGACGCGACGATTTTAGAATCAAACAATATCGAAATAGAAATTGCAAGAAAAACGCATCGAAGAAAACTGCGTATCTCTGTCCTCTTCTTTTTGCAACAGATCGTTTTACCTAGAAAATGAAATTTATTCGATATGCAAAATATTATATATA